AATTGGGTGAAGGTATTTTGTGCCGTGACTTCACCGAAAAAGGAATAACAATAGGGTAAAATCTATACTATGATAATTATACATTTGTACAGATTAAAAAATGATATAAAAGGTAATTTCTTCAGACTTCGGTAACATTTGTGGACTTGTGTTATAAAAATATAAATTATTTTATTTATAAATCACGCGAAAAAATAGACATTTTATTTATTTTTTCTGAGTGAATGAACCTCTATAATTATTATTATTATCATTGGTATTTATTTTTGTTTTTATTATTATTATAATTTAGTATAAACCAATTTATTACCCACAAATAAAATATAATTCTTCTAACCTTCAATAATGTAATAATTGCACAAATTATTTTTTTCTTGACGCTATTACCTTAATAAACACCCGTAAATAAATTATTAATCTTATGCTCAAAATAATTATCATTTGAAAGAATTATTTTTTCTATCGCATCGTTTCCGCTGTCAATTTATCAGAAGTATTGTAAAAAATATTATTTTGTTGCGGTATAGGCGTATGTGCACTTAAACTCGTTTTTATGCTACTTTGTTAAAAAATTATTTCAAGAATATTAATGTTAACGTGCGAAGAAAATTCATATTAAAAGTCTAAGACCTAAGTCAAGTTTTTTTTTTAAAAAATTCTAACTTTTACTAATTATTATTTACTAGAAGAACTCAAAGAATTTGTCATATTATCTAAAGGAGCACTATTGAATCAGTATTATCTAGAGAGTGGCCCGCAGGGTTACTTCAAGAATTATTCAAGAAAATATCTACAGAATCAACTAGAGGTTATCGTTCGATATCATTCTATCATTTGATGAAGGTATGAATTATATACAAGTTGCTGACAATATTTTTTTAGATCACTATTTTATTCTATTATTATTATTATTATTATTATTATTAATGAATTATACATTTCTTAGAATTAATTCATTACCTGAATTGATTCGTCTCTTGTGATTAGATTATGTTGTTCAATCAGATGGCTTGTAAATCGTGCAGAAGGCTTAATTATTGGAACATCAATTTTGCGGGTAAGAAGTTGTATTTAACCTTATGCAGTATATTCTCTATTTAGTGATGATGATGTTAAGTATATTAGAATATATTAGAGTATAATTATATCAATATTTCTAAAATGTATATATTTTATAGAGGTGAAACTGATGAACAATTAATCGTAATGAATCAATTAAATGAATATAGCATCAAGTTAATTCTTGGTTTTATCAGTTGAATTTGATTTGTCTGATGAACGATCTTTTTCACCATCACCGGAAGATAAAGAATCTCTTCGTATGAAATGTATTTAAGATGTAAAATTTTACAGATTTAATTTCGATATTGAATTCTTTTTAATCAATTTGGCATTAATTGTAATTTAATTTGAGAATGACGAGAATAATAATATCAATGATAATTTTCTTAACAACAAATTTGATAAAGAAGGAGGGGAGAGAAGAGGAAGGGAAAGATTATCAATTAATAAAATAGAATTCATGAAGATATATTAGAGATCTCAAATATTTAACAAATTGTTTCTTATATCCAAGAAATTAGCTTCAAAATTTAACAAAAAACGAGAAGAAAGAGATAAAGGCGATGGAGGAGGAAGAGATGTAAGTATTCAATACTATCAAATATATCTCAAAGATTCATTCACAAGATTAAAGAGAGATCTTGAATTATTGAGAAGAGATAATTTTATATTTGCCGCCAAACTTGTTCGAGGAGCTTACATGGTGTGAGAAAGATTGATGGTCAAAAAATGCGGATGTCCTAGTCTCGTACGCAATAATATAGAAGATATTTATGATGAAGTGGTAGAGTTTTTATTAAATGAATTAGATAAAAAAAAGGAAAAGAAAATTGTATATAAAATTAATTGATGTGAATTCGGAAGTTGTGAATTTCGGTCAATTGTATGGTAATTATATATTTCTATATTATATATTATTTATATATTATTTGATCAAGACTAATTTAATATTTTTTATTGTTGGGAGTGTGATATATTACTTCACCATCAAGGTGGATAAAAATGTATTATGATCAGGTGAAATAAAATCATATGTTCATTATTTATTATCAAAAACAAGTAAACCAGATTTGATAACTCTTTATAGTTATGTATCTCTATATTGAAAATTATAATAAAAGATATATTTAACTATTTTCTATTTTCTATCATAAAAACTGTTTTAACGTAATAACAAATAATAATTCATATTCTTTGTATAATTTTCAATTTTAACAAATGGTTATTTATATAATAAATAGATTAAAATATAAAAAATAAAATGAATCATTTATATTAACTATTTTAAATAATGAGATTACGCTATCTAACTGTTACAGTTTGTTTTAATAATCTTAAATACTTCATAATCTTCAATAGAGAACAATTCTTCAGTTGTTCTAATAGGTTTTTCATAATAATTATCATCAGAATAACACCAACATTGTTTATCTTGAGTAAAATCAGAAACATATGATTCCATCATAAATTCAGTATCACCAAAATATGGTCCACATTTATTCTGACAATCAGAATCATGATAGAATAGAGCTTCATTATTATTTATAACTCGGCTGAGAATTGAATTCATAATATTCCCATTTTTTAATGAAAAAATAAAACTATCATCTGTTTCCATATAAACACCTCCTGTTGAATTATCCCACGCTAAAGGATTATAACCACCAATTATTTCATCAGTTCCTGCAATCTTTGCGACCACAATTGTGCCAGCATGTCCATGACACATATTCCAAAATGTTTTGGGATCAAAATCATCTCTACTTCCTCGAAGAATTAATTGAAATTCATAAGGAATATTTGCTAAAGAATAAGCAGTTGATTTTCGATCAATCCATGATGAAAGTTCTGCAACATGTTCTTTGTTGATTATAGTTGAAAGTGGTTCATTTACTTTTGGTGACAATTCAGAGGTTGAAATGGTTCTTACAGGTAATTCGGGATTGGAAATGATTCTTGCTGGCAAAACAAGTGAATCAACAGGTTTATTTGGGGACGTGCAACGTTGGATCATATCATCCCAAAGTTGTTTTTCGAGGATTTTTTCGTAGGGTTTCACTTTCTCACAAATATCTTCACTAGAAATATGGAAATATCGGATAAGTGTTAAACATTGTTGTAGTGTTATTTTCAAAGTTTTGAAATTTTCATTAGACCATTCTTTCAAATCAGCAGGTAAAGTAGGATTTTGTGCAATTCCCCATTTAATAACATAATCCCAAATTTTAATTTCTTCGACTTTCAAGTCATCTCTTTGCAAAATAGAAATCAATGCTGTTTCTCGAAGTGAAGTGAAATCTTCTGATTCAAAAATCATATTTGGATATTTTACAATAATATCATTATAAAATTTTTTCAAACCTTTGAATTCATCACTATTGAAGATTGAATGATAAATAGAGAAGAAATGAGTTATTAACCAAGAAGCTTTAGATTCAATAAGGTAATTTTCTAATTTTACTGATAGTTCTTCGAGCTCTAATTCATTAGCATTGATCATTAATTCATAAATGGTTTTGGTATCCGAATTTTCAATATCGACAATTCCGCCATATATATATCTATTCAATGAATTTTATTTTATTAAAATCGAGTTACAACATATTTAGGTTAAAATTTAAATTTACAAACAATTCCTTACTTACTTAAGAATTATTTCGAATGACTGAAAAGAGAAATTTGATTTAATAACAGCTTTAATATGATTTTCGTTCGTAGTAGCGCTTTCTAATTCTTTATCAAAGTACGGTGAACGATAACGTAAGACAACTGAATGTGCAGTAAAAGATTTCTTATTTTCATCCTTATCAACTTCGATGATGACATTACATTCTTTTTTGTCATTAAGAAGTTCTGAAAAATCGAGAGATAATCTATCAAAAAATTTAAAGGTCATTTTTTATTATTTAAAACTTCAACACAACTACAATAGATGTTATAAATCTTCGTACAATTTATTGATCGTTTCTTATAAGGTAATATTTATTAAGTATTTTTGTCAAACATAACACCACATTCTACCTTTAGTTACTTCTAAATTGTACGGATCGAAATATGTAAAATTAATTTAAACTTCCTTTTTCGCGATTCGTGAAACCAGTGTTACAAACATAACAAGTTTGAATTTTTTTTTGTCACCATAATAATAACAAATAATCAATCACGCTTATATTGTTCATTGTTAATTGTCCAAGTTCGGATAATATTTGCAACGTTACGAATGTATTTATTGTTGATTATTAAATAAAAAGCTGTTGCTGTTGCTTTTGCTGTAGATGTATTGTAGTATTTTGTTGTTGTTTTTTATTGTTCGTTGTTGTTGTTGTAGAGCTTGATTATTTAAATTTTTGATTTCGTTAAGATTTTAAGTACCCACCAATTTTCTCAATTCTTTTTTTTTTCTTCGAATTAAATAAAATCATTTTATGTAAAACAGAGCCGACTTCGCCATCATTCTTTTTATAATAAACGTTATTATGCAGTTTTTATGAAGAAGGATAATAATAAAATTTTTTTTTTTGTAATTCGTTAATCAATTGGAAACTATATCATTTTTGGGAGGGTTTCTTTTTGTTGTATTCTGTATTCATTATAATGCAAAATGATCATTTTAATCATGATTGTGTGGTTTTCTCGATGAAATTTATCATAAAATAGTTGAAAAAATCAAACAATGGAAATTTTTGTTATTTCTTTGACAATCATATTTTATTCTTCGGATTGAAAGAGTTGAGTTTTATCGTATGTGTTGACCTTTATTCACCGATAAATTCGTAAAAAATAAGATCTTTGAATAAATTTATATTAAAATTTCGATTTTCTTTTATTTAATTTTAGGCGCATATTTACGTAATTATTACGGTACTACGTAATTTTACGGAATAAATACGGTGCCATTTTGACTTTAAACCGTAATATATTGGCAGATATTGGTACCAAAAGATAAATTACATTTCATCTTGTACCCCAGAAAATTATTTGGCCTAAAGATTCCGAAAAAATATCGCGGAAAAAATTCGGAATTTTTACGCTCTTTTTACGCCAAAAAAAAAAATTCCGTTTTTTGACTTCAATCGCAATTTGTAGGACAGGGAGGGATTTTTTTATTAAGGTAATCTTATGACTGAACGAAAGCCTGATTCTGAGCTACAAGATGACATGTGTTTTACCCTTTTGGCACAGATATCTGCCGATATATTACGGTTTAAAGTCAAAACGGCACCGTATTTTTTCCGTAACATTACGTAGGTACGCCTAAAAAAATTTCTGATTTTATATAAAATAATATGCAAACAAGATGACGATTGCGTTTGGCATTTAATTTATTAATGCATTGTTAATAAGAAAAGGTACAAAAGGTTTTTTTCGCTTCTTTCGGTATAAGAAATATGTAATATGAACTTTTGTGGTTCAGATGATATGTTTTTATATCGAATGAAAATTGCCTGTCAATATCCGTCTCTTCTAAATAACAAATCAAAAATATTCGGAACCTGTTTTGGCGTATTACATTATCATAAGCTCTTTTTAGATGATTAAAAATAACAGTCATCATTTTATGTCTTTCATATTATTACATTATTTATGGCGGCCTAAATATTTCGGCTGCCGAAGTATTCAAATCCTATTTTAATTATGGCATATCTTAGGCAGCTTCTATAGAGCATACTTTTTAATTTACAGTGGTATCATTTTCAATTTTAAGTTACAATGATAATAAGATCTATTTATTAAATAAATTGTATTTATGCAAACTATTTAAAGAATGAGATAATATTATCGAATTGACAGTTTTGATTTTGTTTTTAAATACTTCATAATCTAAAACAGAAAATTTTTCATTATTTTTCATAATAATCTAAATAATCCAGATTATACTAACACTGACATAGTGAAAACCATCTCGGCTTCCTTGATGAATTAATTGAAATTCATAAGGAATATTTGCTATAGAATAAGTTGTTGATTTTCGATCAATCCATGGTGAAAGTTCTGCAACATGTTCTTTGTCGATTATAGTTGAGAATTGTCTTGAAGGAAATTCAAGAGTTGAAATGAATCTTGCTGTCAAAACAAGTGATTTAACTGGTTTATCTGAGAACATATGATTCTGGATCACGTCATCACAAAGCTGTTTTTCGAGAATTTTTTCGTAGCTTTTCGCTTTCTTCCAAATATCATCACGCGTAATATGAATATCGGATAAGTGGTAAACAGTAATGCAATGTTATTTTCAAGGCCTCGTAATTTTCATTAGACCATTCTTCCGAATTAGTGATTAAAGTTAGATTTTGTGCAATCCCCATTTGATAACGTAAACCCAAATTTTAATTTCTTCGACATTCAAGTCATCTCGTTTTAAATAAAGACCGATACTGTTCCTTGGAGTGAAGTAAAATTTTCTGATGCAAAAATTTTATTTGGATATTTTACAATAATGTCATTATTAAATTTTTTTTTTTAAACCTTCAATTTATTACTATTGAAGATTGAATGATAAATAAGTGAGAAATGGGTTCTTAACCAAGAAGCCTTAGATTCGATAAAAATAACTTTCTAATTTTACTGATAGCTCTTCGAGCTCTAATTCATTAGCTTCGATCATTAATTCATAAATTGTTTTGGTATTCGAATATTCAATATCGATGATCTACCATAGATACATATATCTAAAATAATATGATGCATTTTATTTTATTAGTTCTGAGCCATAACATAATTCATTTAAAGTAATAAAAAATTTTTTAACTTACTTAAGAATAATTTCATTCGTGTGAGCGTTCTCTGATTCTTTATCAAAGTAGAATGAACGATAACGTAAGACAACTAACATGACTTCCATATGCTTATAAATTTTATTTTTTATATTGGAAATTTTAATAAATTTATTTAATTTTTTTTTTTTGTAAATTCTCTGATTTATAATTAATTTAGATATGATTTTAATTAATTTTGTCTAATTAAATTAATGATAATCCTTAAAAAAGTGTATTTAAGCCAAATTTTTTTGATCAATTATTATGATGAATGACTATGTAATATTATAATTGTCTCTTTGGCTCTATACAGTACATGATTTTTTTAAGAAAATAAATATAGCAAAAAATTATCATCAGAAGAGTTTCTTGTTTTGGCCAATCTCATTATTTGATTCGTGGTAGCGATGATGAATTCTTTTTTTTCAATGTGATTTTTTGATTTATATAATAAGTTTTTATAATTATTTATAACGCATAGACAAATAAGAAGAGATAATTCATTCACCTTCAAATTCGTTAGTTTGTAATTTTTCTAACCAGCTCAATTATTTTATCATTTTACAATTTGTAATTCTTAATTCGATCAGACAACCAGCCGAATATAGTACATAAAATTCCATAATTTAAATCAAAAATTAAAAATTAAAAATTAAACATTCATATTTTGCGAGTCTGCATCATGTCTTAAATTTACAAGATACAGTTACGTCATATGTGAATGATCAAATAACAAGAAAATAAATTCGAAAACTAAATAATGAATTCAAATAACAAAACAAAATGAATTTTTAATAATAAAATTTTCAATAATCAAATTATAATTTAAATGCATAAAATTGAATCAAAAAAATTCACTTGAAATTATAAAATTTTTTAAATGACATTATTAAAATTAAAAATAATTGAATTGAATCACTCAAAAACAATTATTTTGTCAAGACCAAATTAAAAGATGCAAAATTCTTTATGATAAAAAAAAAGGTTCATTCAAAATTAACAATAATTTAAAAACAAACAAAAAAAATATCAAAAAAAAAATCAAAAAAACGTTATTAATTTGCTCAAAAAAATGATAAAAGTTACATCATATCTAAAACAAAAAATATTATTACAAAAATTGTAGACTTGGCAAACAAAATTAAATAAATCATATCTAAAGTTACAATGAACAAAAAATCATTATTACAAAAATTAATTATTAATTGGAGGCATGACAAACTAAATTTAATAAATTTATTAAAATTCCAATAAAAAATCACAAAATAAAATTTAATAAGCGTATTACAAATGTTGTAGAGTAGGATCGACCAGTTGGGTAGAGTATGGTCAATTCTCACGTGGGTTGGGTTTAGGTTCAGAGATTGGTTATTTGTAAGGCTAGGGTTTAAATTTATACTCATCAAATTTTTAACTATTCATATCACTCATGTCATAATGAGTAAAGGTTACATCATAATTAAAAGTTATAAGAAGCACAAATCTTCATAAACCTTTGCTGATCGTTATAAATTATAATTTAAATGATAACTAAAATAAATAAAAATTATACATGCGAGACCATATCATAATAAACAATGCCTCTTCACCATAATCCTTTGATCACATTTATGTATTTAAAAAATAATTAATAAATAAACAAAGTCATTTATGGTAAGACCCGCTGAAAATTCGAATTTTTAAAGTAAAATTGATCGATCGATCACTAAATCGTGAAATTATTGTTTTATTATCAAAAATTAGTTACTTAAATTGATTGTTTATTAGTTGAAAAATTATTTATAAGACATTAAGATAAATATAAGATAAAAATAATACAAATCCTACAATGAAACGATTCGGTTTTAAAATAAAAATTTTAAAGCTAAAGTATTATCCAAAAATTATCAGTTCTATAATAAAATGAATTTTCCTATCTAGTGATTCTGCGCATCACACGGTTGAAATGTATAATACATCAGAATGACAACATTTCACAAATTTTCCTTTTTTTTGATCACAATCCCAATATATTGTAACAAAAGTCGTAACTACGGACCCCTTTGGAAATTGGATTGGCGAATTCCAGGTTGTTGTTATTGGATTGACTTCATTACTACCTTTACTATCGCAATGATGGCCATTAATAAATACAGGTTCGTCGAAAACTGTTTCATTATGTAGTTTTCCATCATACCATTGAATGGTCATATTGCTGAGTGCTTCTGGAAAATGTTTCGAAGGGGCCGTAAGCGTCATATTGAATTTCGAAGTTGTTAACCATTGTACATTTGTAATATAAGTAAGAGCTAGGTAAAACAAAAAAAAAAGGCATTAGTTTTTTATTCGCAGAGTTGTTGAACAATAAAAATTAAAAATTGTTTGAACATTAACATACGACTGCAAGATTTAGTTCCAGCAGGATTACATCCGTGAGCTTTTTCAACATGTATAAGGAAAAATACAAGTAAAGTAAATAAAATAGCAGAGTATTTCTGATTCATGATGAAATTTTAATTTTTATGATGACGTTCAAATTGTAATGTGCTGTTATTATGCAACTACCAAGAGAGTGGACTTATTTATATCGCTTGCTTGAGAAAATCTTTTCTTCGATATCAATCCATATGACAATTTGAATTTATTTACGATTATACATACAAGTCAAAAAAGTTGAGATCTCCCAGGTTAACCAAGATGTTCTTCATTCAAAAAGGAATTATAACAATAGATTTTTTTATTTTTAGAATTTTGTCTCCTATTCTCATACAGGCTATATATAAATGTCAAAAAAGTATCGAATTAAATAATTTAATAACAAAATTTCGTTGTGTCTTCATATCTATTTAAATAATTGTCTAAAAAGAGAACTTACTATAACCAGATTTTTTTTTAGCTAATAAAAAGATTTTTCTTCCTCTATGATATATACTAAAATGGCTGGTCAACGGAGCACAAGCCTCTCACTATCTTGATTATGTGTATTTATACCATGTCTAGTCTAGTTATTAATCTTTAATATTAGATAACATAAAATAAAATTAATTAAGTAAATATTAATTGCTACCCATAAAGGTTCCAGTGCAGCGGCACTGCGGATTCAAATTTAACGTGATGCCAATCATAACTTGGAAAAAAGTATTATTAAAACAGAGCATTAGGCTTCGAAGTGTGCCGTTGTCTAAGAAGAGGTCTTATATTTGACCTTTTTTCACGACATTTAATTAAGCGACGAAACCAGCAATTGTATCATCCGAATTTGGATTAGCACCTGCACCTAGTCTTATATTAGGCGATCCAATATATCCTTGATCTAATTTACTAAGAATGGAAAAAATTAATATATTAGGAACAAATGATCAACTAAATTTATTAGATTTTTCCATTTTTATGTCTTTCATGACGATCTATATGTGCATAATTATCGATCACTGTATATAAATAATTAGAATCAATTTTAGTTAAATCATTTCTTTTTAATAATACGTATTTGTTAATATTGTATTATATATGATTATATCGAAAATCATCTGACTTTTGAATTTCGAATGAACATAATTTTCATAATTCTAATAAAAATAATGATCAATATAATTACAAATATACACTTTTGATTATTAACTTAAGTAAAAATAATGATTTATTAAATTTAAAATTTAATATTTCACAATAGGCTTCGATATTAAATTTATTCCTTTGTTTTTTTTTATTCGTGTATAATTGCTTAAATTAATATTTATAAATAATTTAATTGAATTCATTCTCCGCATTTAAATATATAGAAAGTTAATAATTATAAAAATAATAAAATAATTTGATAATTATAAAAACAAAGAAAATAATAATTTGAGAATATGAAAACAAAGGACTTTTATAAAATGCGAAACAATATTATTATATAATAATATTACATTGCTTCATTTAAAGAATCAAAACATACTGTATATAAATTTTTCATATATTTTTTAATGCTAATACTTATTAAATTCAACTCTAAAATCTTATAACTTTTAGACTGGATGCAAGTGACTTACTACCGTTTATCATTATACACAAATTATAATAATTTTATTTAAAAAATGGAAAGTAATTACAAAAAAAAAATAAATAAAAGAAAGTCAGGATCAAAATTCTTTTTTTTTTTTTTTTTTTTTTTTTTGAATTTATATCACTTATTCAACATTTTTATATTCCTAGTGAATTTATTTGGAAGAAAGTAATGCTATATAAAAAAATCCTTGAATAATAATTTTGAGACGACTTGATGTTTCCAAATCAGCCCCCTCAAATCCCTCGTTTTACCGGCGAGAATCATTTCCAATCCTGAATTGCCATTCCAACCCTGAATTGAAATAAGAAGTGAACCATTCTCAACTATAATCAACAAAGGACATGTTGCAGAACTTTCAACATGTATTGATCTAAAAATCAGCTACTTATTCTTATCAAATATTCCTTAATTTCAATTAATTCTTTGAGGGAATAGATCCCAAGACATTTAGGAACATGTGACTAGAACATTATGACATAATTGTGATTGCAAAGTTGCAGGGGTTATCATTCCTTTGGCTTGGGATCAGAATATTTTCTGATTTTCTCAGTATAACCTATGTTGATGTAATTATGATCCTAGATATATACCTTATAATGAAAAACACATTCTATTTTAGATTATGAAGTATTGAAGATTCAAATTCCAAACTATACAATTCGATGATATAAATCTCATTATTTAATGTGATTCATTCTTCTATATTCATATAAAAATGAAAATGACATTACACGTTGCTTTTTAACCTTTACTTTGATAATAAAAAAGTTAATGAATATTTATGCGAAGGTAGAAAAAAGGAAAAAGATTTTTTCTATATTTTTTGAAATTATTCAATGGGCCAAAATATTTCTAAGATGAAAATTGTTCATTAAATATTATATGTAAGTCAATCGTTATCTAATCCTTCATTTTCTTTGATTTTTTTTAAATATAATCAAATATAAGGTTATTTCATTATCATTTTCACGGATGATAATTTACATTTTGGATTTTTTTTTTAAAAAATTGTCTCAGTTTGTATGAAGGTAATTCTTAAATTACATTCATTTCATTTTTGGCATATTTTATCAGATGACCTTTATCTTTTTTTCACTTATTATGTGCGTGTGCAAAATGAAAATGTATATATTTAAATTTTGCATATATTTGTACGTAATATTATATTATTATTGAGATTAATAATATTGTTTGAATATTATTATTAACATCGGCGTTAATATTAAAGAATAATTACACAAATATTTATACAAATCTTTCCAAGTTATAATACTTTTTGAGAATTCATTTCATCTTTTTCAATTATTTCTTTTTCTTCCTTCTCTTCACAACATTCTTTGTCTCCATATTCTTCTTCATTACATTCTTCACTATATTCTCCACCATATTCTTCACTATTATCTCCAAATTTATATACGAATTCTTCTTTTCATTTCTTTTTGCTTACTTTTGTCGTCGAATTTCTGTTTCGCTTCTTTTTCTTTCAAAATCTTTTAATTTTTCTTCGTATTTAATTTTTCTTTGTAGCTACATCGGATATAATGTTTTCTTTAACTCTTAATATTATATAATCACGATGGTAATGATGATGAATGATAATTTAATTTTATTTACAAAACTAATGCGATTCAACGTGTACGATTCAATGCATACAGTGCTATTCATTACAATTTGTTTAATTACAAAATGCATGTAATTCAATCCAACAAACGAATAAAATATATTTAAAATGAATATAGATAACAAAATTATAGCAAAAAATTTATTGTTTGATTTTTTAAGCATTTTATAATAAATTTCATTGGGAATTTTGAGAAAATATCTTCATCATTATTATTATGGTTATTTCGAATTTTTTATAACACGTTTGATCAGAACAGCAATATCAAAAAATCATACACGCTAAATGGCAACTAAAACTTTATGTGTGTACTTTAACATATATAATAAATAGTTTGGGGCTTTTTTGTTTTTTTTAAAAATTTTATTTTTCGAAAAAATTTTTTAATATACAAAAAAAATTAAAATTCAATTTTCGATTTAATTTCAAGCCAATTAATTAATAAAAAAAATAATAATTCAATCAAATTAGAAAAATTTTAAATTTTCATTTTTTTAAATTTTTTCATTAAAGATGACAAAATTTGAAAATTTTATTTTTTAAAAAAATAATAAAATTCAAAATTTCGAAAATTACAATTTCGTTTTTTATAAAATTTTATTTTTCAAAAAAATATAATTATAATAGAATTTTTATGATAATTCAACGATAAAAGAGAAAACAATTTTTGTAAATAAACTTTCTATTATAAAAATGAATTATATATAATTTAATTTTTAATATAGTCTAGTTATCAAGAAATTGCAAGTCATCATATGTCTTCACACCAATTAAATATACTATAGTACTAATAAAAAAATAATAGTTCGTAGTTTGAAAAAATAACCAAATAAAAACGATGAGAATATTAAAAGTAAACGTCACCCCTATCAGTTATAAATAAATTATAATAGATTAAAAACGTTGTATAAATAATAAAAAAGTAAAATGGTGAAATCTTGTAAACTTAATATTCGGATGTTAGAAATTCATCAGAACAAAGTTTCTTCATAATTTTGGTCAAAGCGAATATATTTTTCTCGGTTTTCAAGTTTCCTCTTAAACATTAATTACAAACAAACAATTCTAAATGTGATGGATGAATAGAACGCCCAATAGAATTCCTTGTCCTATTTAAAATTTAATTTTTCAAATTTGAAGTTTTCAATAAAAATCTAAAACTATATTGCTTCATTTTCCGTTGATTATCATTTTTTATTCCACTCAATAATCGTGAGCTTTATTTTTTTATTAATTATAATTTGAAATAAAAATAAAAAGAATTGTTCAACGGTTCAATAATTTAATTGAAAATTTTTTTTTCACTAAGATAAATTGAAAAATCATAAGCATTTTTTATTTTTTTATATATAGAAATTTTTTTTTTATTTGTCATAATTCAAATGAATAAATTATTTTAACAAAATTATGTAGCACTGATTTTTATTATTTGTAAAATTTGAAATTTTACAATATAAAGTAGATAATTATATAATTTTGACATAATATATTATATTTTTATTTCATTTTATTAATTTATTTTATTTTATATTATTTATTTTGATTCTTAATACTTGGAATAAAGTAATATGCTCACCGCAAAAAGCACCTCTCGATATAATAAAACTTAATTTTTTGTGAATCACTACCGATTCTTGCATAAATAAACAGAATTATTTTTTTTTAAGCATTCTCACATTTTCTTGTCAAATAAATCAAAATGCAGTGTGTTACAAAAGTCTTTGGACAAATTTATTAGGTTATTGCACAGAAACGGTTAATTTGATCACAAATTTAATAAAATTAAAATGCCATTTTATTATTATTACTATAAGTATGCATCGTTCCTTCATGGAGCCTACTAAATTAGTAAGAACAGTATTTGAAATATTATTCCATTCCTCCGTCATAAATCGCTCTACTTCTTTCTATTTTTTGGTTGCTGCTTCTTCCTTCAACAATACTCCACGGATTTTCAATAGGATTAAGGTCGAAACTATTGGATGGCCAATCAATTACTTCAGGGAATTTTTATTTAAGAAATTCTTTGGCCACATAACTTGTATGCTTCGGATCATTGACCTGTTGAAATCTCCAATCATTATTCAACATCCTTGTGATCTCAGGTAAGTGTTGTCTTAAAATATTGACATGAAATAGACCATCTATGACCCCCTAAACAAAAAAAGGCTAGTTTCTTTATTTAATTATTCTTATCACATGATACACAAAGTCATTGGAAAAAAAAATACGGAAAAAAGGAATTAAAAAAAGTTAACAAAAGGTGTTTAAATTTTTAAAACACATCAATATAATTATATTATTTATATTAATTAGGGAATTATGTTTCTTTTTTCTCTCCTGTTCCCTTAAGTGATGGATGCAATATTGCGTTGCTTTTAGTCATTGCATACAAATTTCGGACAAACCATTTATTTAAAATTCAAAATACAACATTATTTGCCTTGCGTAAAAAATGAAAAAAAAAGGAAATAAAGAAAAGAAAAAAATATCTGAATCTAAAGAAATTAAAAAATTAAAAAAAAAAAAAATCTAAAAAGTATTTTATTTTTAGTTATTTATTTTGCGGTTAGCAAGTTGATCGGTTTAAAATAAAAAAAAAGTGTAAAAGAAAAACGCGAGCTAATCAGTGAAAAACTCGTCTATGACTTTGTACGCGCAAAACAACCTCGGTTGTGGTACCGGTCTCTGACCCATATTCATCTTCTGACCCTTCTTAATTCATGTCATGGGAATAGTTGTGTACAGTATTGTTGGTCCCAAACTGTTTTCCGTATTGGTGGTTTCAACCTGAATCAGATTTTTGGCAGCATAAACGTTGACCCCCTAGTGTTACGAACTCATTGATGGTACTAATGATTTTAAAGCTTTTGCAGACGACTCCGTCCTTGTAACCGTTGCTCCGACGCTTGATGAATTATTATGGATGATGCAGTGAAAGGGACTTCTTTATCAGTTTCAAAATCTACGCGTCTCTGTGGGGCAATTGACGTTAATTTCTTTTTTTTTTAAATTATTTAAATAAATGATGCCGAAATTTTTATCGCTAAATTATTTTAATCGATTACTTTTGAAATTTCATACAGCCTATATGGAATTAAGTGCCGAAATTCAAAGAAAATTGTAATAATAAAATCTATTTTTTTGAATGAAGAACATCTGGTTAATCTGGGAGATCGCAACTTTTTTGACATATATAAAAAATAATAATTCAAATCGTCATATTTATTGACATTGAAGAAATGATTTTCTTAATTAAGCGATATAAATAAGTCCACTCTCTTCGGTAGTTGTATAATAACAGCCCACATAACAATATTGAACGTCATCAAAAAATTATAAATTTCATCATGAATCAGAAATACTTTACTATTTTATTTACTTTACTTTTATTTTTCCTTATACATGTTGAAAAAACTCACGGTTGCCATCCTGCTGGAACTAAAAGTTGCAGACGTATGTTAATTTTCGAACAATTTTAATTTTTATTATTCAACAACTCTACGAGTAAAAAATTAATGGCATTTTTGTTTTACCTAGCTATAGCTTATATTACAGATGTCTAATGGTTACCAAATGCGCAACTCCAAATAACGACTCGAGCCAATGGGAACAATTGACCAGAAGCAATCGGTCACATTTCCTTTACTTATGGTGACGCCTCACACAAAAATGGTGATATAATTTTAGATCAACCTACCTTTTTTAATGACCATCATTGCAATGATAAAGGTAAAAATCAATAAAATCGATTCACATCAGTCCGGTCATATGATTCGGCAATGGAACCTCCAGCGGGTTCAAGTTTTTCTGTTTATGCTTCAATATATTTGGATTGTAATCATCAGATCGGAAGTTCAGTGAAATGTTGTCATGTCGGTCAAGCCTATTCTTCAATAAAATACTAAATAAAAAAATTTATATTATAGAGATGTACTTTAGCTTTAAAAATTTTTATTTTAAATCGAATCTTTTCATTATAGGATTTGTAGTCACAATATTTATTATTTATTATTTTTAGCATTTTATATCTTAGCCTAATAATAATCAATTTATGTAACGAATTTTTTTCTTTTATCATTTGATAATTTAATTTACTATAAACACTTAGATTCTAATTCATTTTTTGTTTATTTAGAAATTTATTAATTATTTTTGAGTTAAAATACACAAATTTTCTCATTATGGTGAAGGTGCATCTTAAAACATATAAGTATATGGGCTCACATGCTTAATTTTTTTTATTCATTTTAGTTATCATTTATAATTGTAATGATCATCAAAGGATTAGACGGCGAAAGTGCATCTTATGATTTAAGCATGATGTTCCCTTTACTATTATGATATGGACTTACTAGAATCGAGAAATAATTTCTGAAATATTTATTTAGATATGTTTTGTTGTCGTTTTATCACATTTACCAATTTATCACGTTTACCAATTTGCCTGCATTCTTTCATTCATTTTACCAAGGTTGGCATGTCGTATTTGATAATTTAATATCATTATCATAGTATAGATTTTACCCTATTGTTATTCCTTTTTCGGTGAAGTCACGGCACAAAATACCTTCACCCAATT